TCGACCTTGGTGGGTTCCTCGTCGTCTGCTTGATCCAGGCCATGATGCAGTTCGCGCACGGCCCGGGTTCGAAGAAGGCTCCCGCTTCGGCCGTGGCGGGTCAAGGGCGAGGACGAAGAGCTACTCGATGTCGATGTTGAAGGTGGCGGAGATGGAGAGGGAGAGGAAGAAGACGGCGAGGCGCCGAGAGCAGAAGCAGTTCCATTCATCTCGCCTTCACCTTCTCGCCCTCACTTTTCAGAATCTTTTAGCAGCCACCTTCCCTCCGGAAAATGGATGGATTTCTCAGAGAGATGAATCGTAGATGACGCGGGGGGGCTGCCTTCCAACCTTCAGGCCTCTCCGTCAGCCCACTTTCCCCTGGTTCTGTTTTTGGAGATGCCGCCGGCACACGCCTCTCGATCCAAAGGTGGCCATGCCCCTTTTTTGCGCTGAGCCTTGCCTGGAAACGAATACGGTAGTATCAACAACTACTTTTTTTATTTTTTTATTTTAAGTTGGATTTTTATTGAGTCCGTTACCGCCAGCTTAAGGGTCAATCCCTTAAGCGACTGCACGTTGGTGAAAGTTTCCATCCTCGGCCGGGTCGTTTCTCCTCGTGGTAACACCCACTCTGTTTGTTGTCTTATTCCTCTATCCATTCTGTTCTTCTTCTATTTCCATGTGTTCTCTTGTTATCTCCTCTTCCTCTTCGTTCTCTTCGTCTATTCTTGTTACGTGGTTGTGTTCTATCTCTGTTTTTTCTATTATTAATTTCGCTCGTGCTCTATAGATATTCACTGTTCCTTGTGCATACTCACTGGTATACTCTATCATCCAGTTCTTATTTTGTTTTTCTACTATTCCTTCCTCCTGTTCCTCTCCTTCTTGAGTGCTCTGTTTACAACTGTTTCTCTTTCTATTGTTTCAGCGGGGGGTATTGGCTCATTTCCTTTTCATACCTTGGTTCGGTTCCAGTGTTGGGGGCGTCCCCCTTGCAGTACTACCTCCTTCCTCTTCTCTCTTTCTCTTCCTGTTTCAAGCATTTGTCTTTTGGGCTTTCCCAGCCCATTCCCTTGGGAGGAGCCCAAGGAGGATCACTGCCTTACAGCAGCTGTCATCTCCGACCCACACTCCAATGCTTGTTGCCTGTCTGTGCGTTTCGTCAATGATTTTATATATCTTTTTAAGTGCCTTTTCTCTTATTTCTTTTGTCTTGTCACATCTCCCTAAGGTGTGTGGTACGTCCTCAACAGCCTCTTTACACAGGGGGCACCACACCCCTTCATTGTTCATTGCCTCTTCAGCATCCATGGTACAATTCCTCATCCACCATACATGTGTTCCAATCACACTTCTCCTCAATCTCATTTTGTGGATAAGATTTAGATTTTTCTCATCTTTATAATTCGGTCTATGGGTCAACTTCCAAGCCACCTTCCATGCGACTTCATCTTTTGTCGTGATGCCCTCACACATCTTTGATTTAAGCCCCTTTTTGTATATTTTGTTGTTAGTTGATTTGATTAGTCTTCATGTGCTTGAGTCCCTCCACTGTCCATCTATGTATACCCCCATATCTGTTTCATGATCTTTTAGGTGGGTGAATGTTGGAGGGTCTGGTTTTTGTGTGCCTGCACTTGCTAGCGCGTCAGCTGCTTTGTTTCCCTTCACCACTGTGCTGAATAGGGGTCCCCACTTTTCTTTCATCATCTGGAACCTTTTGTTCCACGCTTTGTCGTTCTTTCTAGACACTAATTTCTGTTGGATGTGGCTATAGATATGTGAGCACTGTGTGAACCATCCTTGTTCTGTTCTTTTCCTGATCTCTTTGTGTATTCTCCTTTCAACTGTGCATCTGGTGTGGATGCTCCTCTGGTATGGGTGGTCTATTAGTTGTTTTACAAGTATGCATACTGATTCATTATCTGTTATAATGTGTATATCTGGCATGTCTGCAGCGATCTTGAGCGCTTGGAGCATGGCCTGTAGTTCGGCGTTGTTGGATGTTTGGTCTCCGACAGTGTGCTCTGCTGTGTTCAGCGGGCTATTGGCTGAGAAGTACACTCCAAACCCCACCTTCTCCTTTGTCTTAGATCCATCTGTCCACACAAGTGTTTTGTCATTGATTCCTTTGTGGACTAAATCCCCTCTTGCTAACCTATTAACCTTCCACTGTTTCCATTGCATTCATATTTTGTGTAGGATTCTACTTTGCAGCATATCCTGACATGTATTACACATTGCATTAGGTCTACTTGTTTCCTTGTAAGGTGTCTCCCCCATGGTCGCCATTACCTCTTTAAATGGTTTCAGTTGGGGGTTTTGGGGGATCATGTCTCTTAGTCATTGGAGTTGTGTGTCATTCATTACTCCATGTGCGTTTTTCCTTGCATTGTGTCGGTTTAGTTGCATGGGTTTACTGATCTCCTGTGGTAGTTCTAAGTTGTTGCATATGTCATCCTTTCTTTCTTTAGTTTCCAGCACTAGATCCAGTTTGTACTTCCTCACCACTGTTATGAGATGGTATGATGTCAGCATTCTCCTTCCTTCTCCCCCATCTTCCACTCCTTTGATAGTGAATACCTCTCTCTCTCCAATGTGTCATATGCAGCTCATGTTATTAATGATAGCACGCTGGCCTAGTGAGTCTGGTCCTTTCAGGACTTGGTTGATCGCACACCCTAGGAAGACTGCGTCCTGCATGTTTTCCATACAGGTAAGCCCCATTCCCCTGTCTTTCATTTCCATCCATAACCAGTTGGATGGGCAGTCCCTTCTTATTTGTAGTGCATGCTTAACCACCTTCTTCATGATTATGTCTATTTTCCAGAGGAGTGGGGTGGTGTAGTTCACAATACTCATACCATATTCTACCACCATGCTTGTGATCACATTTATCAGGTGCGTCTTTTGTGATGCTGTTATTTGTTTGTGGTACAGCCCATTTATTATCTGGTTAAATTTCTTGTTGATTGTATGTATGTGGGTATCCCACTTTAGGTCAAGCGCCATATGAATTCCCAGGTATTGGTACGTTCCCTCTGGCTTCAGTTTTTCAACTTGGTTGCCCTTGTTGGTTATTGGTGTGAAAGTGCTACTGACGTCATTCGTGGTGTATGCTGATTTGGTGGCTTTTATTTGTAGTCTGCTATCCTGACAGAACTTACTCAGTTCCATCCATAGTTTGTTCATTCCATCTGCAGTCTCACTAAGGATTGCAATGTCATCCGCGAAGGCTATTGCTCCAATTATATTCCTGCTCTCCATTTGGTACCCACTCTTGTTCTGGTGTAGTTTTTTGATGATTGGGTTGACGAATATATTGAAGAGCAGGGGTGAGAGTGGATCTCCTTGTCTTATGCCCTGTGTGATGTGAATAGGATCTGTCTTGCCATAGTTGGTAAATATACTAATGGTGTTATCCATGTACATGTTCCTGATCAGGTTCACCAGGTTCAGTGGGAATCCATACACTGTGAGGGTGTTGTACATTCTTTCCAATGGGACACTATCATAGGCTCCAGCTATGTTGATGTAAGTAATGTGTATTTGCTTGTTCATATAGTTCGCCTCCTCCATCACTCCTCTCAGTGCATGTATTTTTCGTCAGTCATGTCCCTTTCTTCTAATCTGGGTACATGTTTTGTTGCTTTTAGGAGTCTCCAGAGAAGCTTCTCTTGTGTGTTCTGTTCCAGGTTCACTTTGGCTCTTAGCAGCACCACTGCATCTATTCTGTTGTGTACCTCCTTCCTCCTTTTCCTTTCCTGTCCCCAGTTCTTGTTTGACATTACACTTTGTTTGTTAGGTTGGTGATCTTCTTTTGCAGTCCTCTGTCAGATGATCCAGTCCACCGCCAGTACTAGTGATTCTGAAATGGTCCTTGCACTCCTGTTTATGTCTTTGTCAGTGGGGTTCCCTTCTAATGTGAATTCCTTGTACTTCAGGTCATTGCATACATCATTGTTGAACATATTCCATTCGTCCATGGATAGGTTGGTAGGTATCCTCCTCTGTTCTACTTGTTCTCCCTTGAAGGTATGTAACAGTTTGTTCTTCTCCTTTTTATATGTACCTATCTTCTGGTCTTTCTGATCCAGTGTCATGTTCCAGTCTCCCCCCAGTATTTTATCTCCTTTGATTTCCTTTGTCCATTTGGTCAGTCTCTTATAGAAGTCACACTTCTCTTTTGTTCTGGTTGCTGGTGTGTAAACGCTCACTAGGGTTAGTGTATTGTTGTTTGTGATTATCTTTGCTGTGCTGATTCTTCCTTTCGCCCAATCCTCTGTAGGCGTAATGTCACTTACCAGTCCCATCAAGTCATTGTGTATCAGCACAGCTGTCCCCCACTTTGCTGTGAGTCTGCGTGTAGCAAGTGGGTGAACCAGTGGTTTGTTCTTTGTTGGTAGTTCTAATTCCATATCCATTTGCTCTTCTTCGTTCTCCATTTGTACTTGGTTTTTTTGAATATATCTCTGTGAGAGACAGTTGTGGAAGCCCTTATATCCGTCCAGTGTTGCATATCTCCCTTTAGTTTTGTCGCACTTAAGTTCTTGTATCATTATTATGTCTGGATGGTGTTTGTTGGCCCACTCCTGTAGTTCGGCTTTCTTGTCTTCCCAACCCCCATTTATATTTATGGTAATTATCTTAAGTGTTTTGTTTTTAATCAAATTGTTCTCAACGCCTGTGGAGGGTAAAGGTTCATTTGTTGGTGTCATGTTTGTCATCACAGTGTCTGGGTGTGGGGGACAGGTTGTTCCTCCGGTGGTGTGTTGGTCCATTTCTTGTTGACGATGTCAACTTTGCACAGGTTGATCCCATCAAAGGTGATCTCCCCTTTTTTCTTGTCCAAGTGGATGGCGTCTTCAAGTGACTTGCACAGGACATGTGCACAACCCTTGAACTGTTTGTTCTTCTGGTTGTGGATGAGGTGTATGGTGCAGTGCATGTGGTGCACCTTAAGGAGCAGCTTGCTGATTATGGTGGGTGGCAGTTTGGTCAGTCCCCTGATCCACCTGGTTGTTAAACATAGCCAAGGTTGTTTGTGAGGATTGTGCTTAGTGTTGGTGTTGTGTGTTTCTACCATGAACGGCAGGTACCTGTTTTGGTCAGAGTGTCTGTAGATGGAGATCATCTTCTGGTGTGGTCTCTTGTTCTTGTTGTAGATATAGTGCTTCTTGAGGAAGGTGTCCAGGTGGTCCATCGTCCAGAATTTGATTATGTAGCCTCCCATGATAGTGGTATCTACGTTCTTGTATGGCGTCTTGAGCACACCACACTCTTGGATTATCTGCATCAGTTCTAGGCCACTCCCATCCATGATAATCACTAGGGGTCGTTCACGCCCTGCCAGTGTACGATGGGATATCACTCTGACCCCATCAACAATGGTGCCAAGATTCACCTTCACCAGCTCAGCCCAGACTTGGTCAGCATCAATGTGTCTGTTGAAGACCAGGGTGGCACACTGCTTGTGGGGCTTGATGGTGCTTCCTGCTTCCTCATCAAAGTCATCCAGGATCTTCTCAATGAACTGTTGGTAGTCCCCCATGTTGTCAATTGGGGTCTTCCAGATCACTACAACCAGGACCAGTTGATCCAACATATCATTGACCATCTGATGGAGTAGGGTATTGAGCCCCCCAACCTGCACGGCCAAGATGATCCCATCCTGGTGCGCCTCCTTGAGGCATCTCTTCTTCTCAATGTTCTTGAGTAGGGCATCCGACCAGCGTTCAGCGTTGTTCAGCTGCCTCATCATCAGTCAGTCGTCATTGTCCAGGCGGTATGTCAGGCAGGGTGCGGGTCTCCTGGTCTCCAATCAGTGGCGCCTCCTAGCATTCTGGATGTTGCTAAGCCTTTGTACCTCCACTTCCTCCTCAGACACTCCCAACGTCAGTTGAAACTCTCAGATTGCCTGCAGTAACTCTGCAACCTTAGTTTTTTCCTTCAAGCTGGCCCAAGAGTCCACCAAGTCTGTCTTCTTCCTCTTCTTCGTTCTGTCCTCTTGCTCATTGTTGCTGATCCCATCTTCATCTGGGTCTGAGTTGTTTTCTTGTTCTTCTTCTTCTTCCTCTTCTCCATTTTTTTCACTCATACTCATCTCATCCATCTCCATCCTCTTCCACCGTGTTGGGTTGAGTAGATTTATTTTGTTGTTCTCCGGCTCAATACATTGTCTAAACAAGGGTGTTTCCATCCGCCACTTTACCTTTTTAGGTATGTCTAGTTTTTTAAGCCTTCGTTTTCGGAGCTTTGAGGTGTCTTTTAAGGTGTGGTTATTACGTTTATTAACATAGTGTTGTGGCGTCTTATTTATTATTAGTTTGAGAGGGGTTGTTGCTGTTGCTGTTGTGTAGTTAGTTGGTATTAGCAGAGGAGTGGCGTTTTTATGTGTATTTAAGAGGGGGGAGGGGGACACGAATGATGTGGAAAGGGTTAAATGGGTTAATGAGTTTGCAGGTGTGCCAGTATACAAGTGTAAGGACACTATAATAGCATGTGACCCCGTTGATACATGGTTGGTCATCCACCGGCTCAAAAATCCATCTCTTTCAAACCATCATTTGATGCGTGTGCCTCTCCCGGCTCCATCTTTTTCCAGTATCAACAACTACACGCTTGCGATCAGCATTGCGACCATCCGCGTGAATGGTTTGGGGTTCTCCTCCATCATCTTTGGCTTGGTTGTGTGTTTTTTTATTGTTTTCATGTGCTGAATTTTTCTGCAACATTCATGAAATTTGGGCTGGCTCTCCAAACTCGCAAGGAATGTGGAGAGGTGGACCAATCAAAGAGGACGTGACGTCACGCTCTTTTGGTCGTTCTGGTTCGCAATCTCGGCACTTTGAGCCTCAAACGCCACCAACACTGTAACACACCCAGCTAAGCCCCGTCCGGTCATGGCCCGCCCTTCCCACCATCATGAATTCCTCCTCCTACTTGCAGTTGCCTTCCTATCTGTTGGGCTGGCCCGGCAGATGCCCGACCCACACCGCTACATGCCGCACTCCTTTCTCAAGGTGGACACCACCAGACTCGACCAGTGGCGCCCGGCTCTAGACGACGCCGCCACCGACGCCGTGCGGGTCATCAACTCCCACCGCCCGCGCGACCAACACCTCGCCCTGGACCAGGTCCAGACCGACGGTGTGCAGGTCGGGCGCGCCCTGGCCTTCTCCGGCACCATCGAGCTGGCCGACCACCACCACCCTCCACACCCCTCGGCCTACACCTTCACCCAGCACTCGGACTTCATCCACCTCCAGCCCGTCCAGCCCCTCGCGCCGCTGTGGGCACTGCCCTCACCCAGCGCTTCGCTGAAAACTGAGCCCGTCGATCAGCTCCCCCAGCCCGACGAGGACCCCGTGTTCCCTGAGGTGGAGCTCGAAGGTCCGCTGGTGCTCCATCTCGACCAGCAGCTGTACGACCCGGTCCTGCGGCTGCCGCACTCGGTCGAGGTGGGCGCAGTGCGGGTCATCAGGGTCGGACCCGGCGTGCGGCTGCGCGTTGGCGGCGTGAGCCAGATGAAGCTACGGTCGTCGCTCGACGTGCAGCGCAACATCAAGCTGCTCGCGCTGATGGACGAGAACAACGCCACGACAGCCAATCTTCATCAGCAGGGCGAAATGGACGTGCCTGAGCTCGAGCTCAAGCTGGTCGACCAGGGCCGGGCGTTCCGCATGTGGTCCTCATCGGCCGAGCGGGTCAAGGCCAAGAGGCGATCGGCCCACGTGCTCGAGCTCCTCCCAACTGCCGCCAGCCCCTCTGCTGACGTCAGCAGCCAGGTTACGACGACCAGCCACGGCCGCACCGATCTGGCGCCTAGGTCCGCCTCTGATGCGAGCCTGTGGGTCCTGTCTCAGGCCAACCTCCTACGGGGCGTGATAGGCGCCTTTGCCCAGGCGGCCGAGGAGCAGCCGGTGGTACTGCGTCGCGTGGTCGAGGCCAAGGCCGAGGCCGTCAGCGTGCTCGTGATCCCGATGACCCTCAGGGAGCAGCCCCACAACAACCATGGCGGCAAGACGTCTCAGTGGCAGGTCGTGGTCACCCGCGGCGCGGACGGCAGGCACACGGTGGTGTCGCACCAGCAGCTGGTCCAGCAGGAGAGCCACGTCACCGTGGCGCCGTGGGTGTGGGCCAACACGACCACGCCGGCGGTCATGCGCACCGTGCAGCTCCTCGAGAAGAATGCCCACCGACCCGCCCAAGCATCCAGCTGAAGATGCATCTCTTCACCATTCTGCTCACATTCGTGAAGTGCTCACGAATTGTACAAACAAGATTAAAGCTACTGTTCCCCCACATATCCTTTTGAACAAGAGGCCAGGCTGAAACTGGGCATCAGCGTGGGCCAGGCCTAGGCTTGAGATGGGTCACTCTGAAAAACAGAGAATGAGCGGACCGAGCATCTGCAGCCTGGATACTCGTCGTGATGGAGGCCTCAAGAGAGGTTTGCAGAGCTGCAAGAGAGTTTGCAAGAAGTCAGTTCCTGCCGAGCCACTGTTTCCTTGTTTTTGCAATCCAAATAGGAATAATATTGCTCACAATTGTAATTGTAATTGGCCAAAAAAGCAAACCCAAACAAAGTTGAAACCAAGAAATATTCAGAACACCATTTGTTGTGTTTCGTTGCTGACGGCACAAGTACAAGCAAGACGATGGAGAGCAGCGTGGACGAGGGCCTGTTGGCCGTGGAGCCCTTGGGCAAGGCCTGGGTGCTGAAGCAATTCGACGAGAACCCTCGCCTGCACCGTATGCTCAGCCCTCCGGTGGTGGACAGGCTCACCAACCAAGCGCTGGCTGTCCCCTATGCCAGTGATTTGGTACCGCCCAACACCTTCTTCCTCATCGTTGATGTTGCGGTAGCACCAATTAATCTCGTGAATTTATTTTATTTTATTTATTTTTCACTGCCAAAAGGAGTACTTGCATGACCTGGAGGTGGACATGGTACTCAAGAAGACGCTACTCGGTCTCGAAGATCTGCAGATTGGCCAGGAGGTGCCCCATCCCCCTCCACCAGCATTTTTCTGTGAATCTTTTCTTATTTCATTAACCTCCGCTCCCTGCTGGCGCTGACGTCACCATTTTCACTTCTTCCCTTGTCGTCGCCCACAGCTGAGCTTTTTCAAGAAGAACCAACTCGACTCCGAAGGTACATTCGATCCCACGCGTACGGCACGGTTGCGCTGTGCTTCGTCGCTCACGACACGACACGACACGACACGACACGACACGACACGACACGACACGACACGACACGACAGCGTGCCAGCAGTACACGGCGGCGCTCAATGCGGTCAAGGCCAACTTTGGGAGGGGCGTGGCGAAGAAGCTGCGGCACCATGCTCCCGTGGACACCAAGCCGCAGGAGAGGCAGGGCCGGCCCCTGCTCCCGCGGCTGGTCCGACTGGCCATCAAGTTCGGCCTGAGCGAGAAGGAAAAGCTGGCCCTCAACTTCATCGTCGTACAGGCGATTGGTACCGATCACTCACGCGTCTCTCGCTCTGCATCATGCGTGTTCTCACCGCACGACACACACGACACACACGACACACACGACACACACGACACACACACACACACAGGGCAAGAGTTCACACGCTCAGGCAATGTAAAGCTGACAATGAGCGACAGAATCATCGCCAACCGGTTTGGTATTGGTTTCCCTCACTGTGAAGAAAGAAAGCGTCGACTCACGGTTTTTGCGGTCTCTCGTGTCGCGTCGTGACCAGGTGGAGGAAGGAGGAGCAACTACAGCTTCGAGTCCCTGCTGCGCTATTCGGACATGACCATCAACGAGGGTACGCCGTGTTTCAGTGTCTCCGCTCCCGCCATACATCACCTTTGCTCTCTCTCCCTCTTTCACAACTGACGCCCAACCCTATACGCCCGCACGGCACACAGCCATTGCATTCCTCAAGTCGACCAGGCCCTACCTCACTCAGGGACTGTTCGTTGTCGATAAGACCAGCCCCATGCAAAACGATTACATCGACATTCCTCATGTACGTCGTTGCCCTCATTGCGCGTGTCGTCGTGTGCGCCGTGCGTGGTGTGTGCGCGTGCAGTGCTAGTGCTAGTGCGAGCCTGTGTTCATGGTCTTGGTTGTCTTCTCGCTCGCCCCACAGGAAAC